GTCTTTTAATTTCATGGCTGCAGTCACAGTCTGCGGTGATCTGGGATCCCAGGAACGTGAAGTCTGTCACTACTTCCACGACTTCCCCTTCTATTTGCCAAGGAGTGATGGGGCCGGATGCCATGATCTTAGTTTTTTTGATGTTGAGCTTCAAGCCCACTTTTGCGCTCTCCTCTTTTACTCTGAGCAAGAGGCTCTTTAGATCCTTTTCACTTTCAGCCATTAGAGTGGTATCATCTGCATATCTGAGGTTGTTGATCTTTTCCCCAGCAATCTTAATTCCCGCTTGTGATTCATCCAGGCCAGCATTTCGCATGATGTACTCTGCATATATATTAAATAAGCAAGGTGACAGTATACATCCTTGTCGTACTCCTTTTCCTATGCTGAACCAATCAGTTGTTCCGTATCCGGTTCTAACTGTCGCTTCTTGGCCCTTATACAGGTTTCTCAAGAGACATGTGAGGTGGTCTGGTACTCCCATCTCTTTAAGGACCTGCCATAGTTTGTTGTGATCCACACAGTCAAAGGCTTTAGCATAGTCAATGAAGCAGAAGTAGATATTTTTCTGGTACTCTCTTGCTTTCTCCATAATCCAGCGAATGTTGGCAATATGATCTCTCGTTCCTCTACCTCTTCGAAACCCAGCTTGTACTTCTGGTAGTTCTCTATCCACGTACTGTTGAAGCCTAGCTTGTAGGATCTTGAGCATGACCTTGCTAGCGTGTGATATGAGTGCAATTGTGCGATAGTTTGAACATTCCTTGGCGTTGCCCTTCTTTGGGATTGGAATGTATACTGATCTTTTCCAATCCTGTGGCCACTGTTGCGTTTTCCAAATTTGCTGGCAAATGGAGTGCAGCACTTTAACAGCATCATCTTCTAAGACTTTGAATAGTTCAGCTGGAATACCATCACCTCCACTAGCTTTGTTGTTACTAATGCTTTCTAAGGCCCATTTAACTTCACATTCCAGGATGTCTGGCTCGAGGTCAGTGATTATACCGTCGTGGTTGTCAAGGACATCGAGGTCTTTCTTGTATAGTTCTTCTGTGTATTCTTGCCATCTTTTCCTAATCTCTTCTGCTTCTGTTAGGTCCCTACCGTTTTTGTCCTTTATCATGGCCAGCTTTGCATGGAACGCTCCCTTGATTTCTCCAACTTTCTTGAAGAGATCTCTAGTCCTTCCCATTCTATTGTTTTCTTCTATTACTTTGCACTGTTCATTCAGGAAGGCCTCCTTATCTCTCCTTGCTGTTCTCTGGAAATCTGCGTTCAGTTGGGTAAATCTTTCCTTTTCGCCTTTGCCTTTCGCTTTCCTTCTTTCCTCTGCTATTTGTAAAGCCTCATCAGAAAGCCATTTTGCTTTCTTGCATTTCTTTTTCTTTGGTATGGTGGTGATTGCTGCCTCCTGTACAATGTCACGAACCTCCGTCCATAGTTCTTCAGGCACTCTATCTATCAAATCCAGACCCTTGAATCTATTCTTCACCTCTACTGTATATTCATCAGGGATGTGATCTAGGTCAAACCTGAATGGCCTCATGGTTTTCCCGATTTTCTTCAGTTTAAGTCTGAATTTTGCAATGAGTAGCTCATGATCTGAGCCACAGTCAGCTCCAGGTCTTGTTTTTACTGACTGGATAGAGCTTCTCCATCTTTGACTGCAAATTATATAGTCAATCTGATTTGGTGTTGCCCATCTGGTGATGTCCATGTTTAGAGTTGCCTCTTAGGTTGTTGGAAAAGGGTGTTCGCTATGTCCAGTGTGTTCTCTTGACAAAACTCTGTTAACCTTTGCCCTGCTTCATTTTGCTTTCCAAGGCCAAACTTGTCTGTTATTCCGGTTACTTTTTGACTTCCTACTTTAGCATTCCAGTCCCCTATGATGATGAGGACATCATTTTTTGGTGTTAGTTCTAGGCGGTGTAGGGTGTAGTGAAAAGCAATAAAAAATTTATTAAAAAAAAAGAACATCTCATTCAGCCTCTGTTTAAGGGGCAGGCATTTTTCTCCAGGCCTGTTGATTTTAGTGTGCAAAACCGCCAGCAGCTTAGTTGCAAGTTAACTGTCAAGAACCGGCATGGGTTGATGATGCTTGAGAGGGAGCTGCATTTTTAGCTCGGGTGTCCCCGGAGTATCTTGCAGGAGACAATCTCCCTCTTATGAAAGTTGTCTCCACCTCAAAGCTGACTGGGGGAGAAGGGTGCAAAATCACCAGTTGCTTACTTCTAAATGCTGGCCTGCCTGGGAAAACTGGCAGTGGAAAGCGCATCATGCTGCAGCCGACTTATGGTGACCCTGCAGGGCTTTCAAGGCAAGAGACCCATGAAGAAGGTTTGCCCTGGCCTGCAACCCTGGACTTCCTTGGTGGTCTCCCATCCAAGTACTAACCAGGTCCAACCCTGCAATCTGATGAGATCAGAACAGCCTCGACACACACTACAGCACAGCCACATTACTACTGGTGTCATTTTGGGGCCATCATGTAGGGTTCAGTTTGCCAGTTATGAAGGAGTCTAATATGGGTGTGTCTTTTTTTTAAGTTCAGTTTTTTTATGTTAGTGTGTTTCTGTGTGAAATAACAAACCACAGTATTGCTGGATCTGTAATATATTTCTATTAAAGCAAATTCAAGTGGGCAGCAGTGGTGGTCTGAAAGTTTCAGAACAAAGTTTGAGTCCAGCGGGGGCACCTTTAAGACCAACAAAGTTTTATTCAAGGTATGAGCTTTCGTGTGTGCGCACACTTCCTCAGATACATTGAAATGGACATTACCAGTCTATACATATAGCTAGAGGGTGAACAGCAAGTTTTGTTGTTGTTCAGTCGCACAGTTGAGTCCAACTTTTCGCACCCCCATGGACCAGCTCCCGCCAGGCCCTCCTGTCCTCTGTTGTCCTCCAAAGTTTGCTCAATTTCATGTTCGTTGCATCGGTGACACTGTCTCGCCATCTCATCCTTTGCCGTCCCCGTCTTCTTTGACCTTCAGTCTTTCCCAGCATCAGGGTCTCCTCCAGTGAGTGCTCCCTTCACATTTGGTGGCCAAATGAGATTCAGCTTCAGTATCTGGCCTTCCAGAGAGCAGCCAGGGTTGATTTCTTTTAGGATTGTTTGATCCCCTTGCAGTCCAAGGGACTCTCAAGAGTCTTCTCCAGCACCATAATTCGAAAGAATCTATTCTTCGGCCCTCAGCCTTCCTTACGGTCCAACTCTCGCAGCCGTACATGACTACTGGGAATACCATTGTTTTGACCATGCGGTCTTTTGTTGGCAGGGTGATGTCTCCACTTCTTATTGTGCTGCCTAGGTTTGCCATCGCTTTCCTCCCAAGGAGGAGAATAGCAAGTTAGCATACAACATAATGAATATGTTTTAACAGAGGCCAGGGCCAAACAGGAATAACAAGCTTGTTTTATATGGTTCCCATTTGTTTGGGTTTAGTTTCGAGGAGAAACATAGTGAAGGAAATAAATATGTCAAAATTGGACATTGATCAAAAGCTTATACCTAGAATAAAACTTAGTTGGTCTTAAAGGTGCCCCCACTGGACTCAACCTTTGTTCTGTTGCTTTCAGACTGACACAGCTGCCCCCCCGAATCTATATTTAATCTATATTTCTATTAAAGCTATCAATATTAAACCAGGAATCTGCCCAAGGGAGCTTTGACCAAAAATCTTGATGGTTTCCAAGATGCTCCTGGACTCGAATCTGGCTCTTCTCCTTCAGACCAAAATTGCTACCCTTCAAACCTATATTTTAAAAATGCCATCGGTTACAGCCAGTGTTCCCTCTAAGCTGAGTTCGTGTGAGCGAGCTCACAGTTTTTTAGCCTCCAGCTCACAGGTTTTCGTCTTAGCTCAGGAAGGAGGGCTCCAGAGCAAACTCATTGATGCAGTAGTGGCGAAGTCGCTCGCTCACAACTCTAATGCCAGCAGCTCACAAAGTAGAATTTTTGCTCACAAGACTCCACAGCTTAGAGGGAGTATTGGTTACAACTTATATGCACCCACTCCATCCGTTCTTTGGTCTTTTTCAGATAATGAAGGCACTGCTGGCTTGTTCTGAGAAACTCAGGTACAACCTGGGGGGGGGACCACATTCTCAACGACCTCCTAAACACAGTTAACACCGTTCTAAGACCCTTGTCTTTAATGGACTTAGAGGGGTGTGTAATTCTGATTATGGTTGCTCTGTACCTTTACAGGTGGCCGTGGGCATCAGGCACAGGAAGGCTGCTGAGAAGAGGTCTTAGAATCATGGCCTGAAACATCTCTCCCCCCCCCTCTTTTTTTATTTTGTAACAGTTCCGGAGAATCAGGAAGCTTGCCCACTGTTTCGTGTCCTTTTGGTAGGTTCCAATAAAAGGTATGAACATGGGTCATTCTTGGGTTTTGGCGTCGCTGCAGGGAACGTCTGTCAGAGGAAAGACCTGTGCCTTTAATGCAAGGGATTCTCAATGGCAGTAGCCATTTTCTCCGTGCACGATCGCGATGCCACCCGTTCTCCTCCTAAATGCAGCAACCTGCAGCAGGAGCGCCGTCCTTTACCGTATTTTTAGTTTTCTCCTTTTAAATACCACGGGGCAAAAAAATGTGTCAGAAGTGGGATTCGAACCCACGCCTCCATACGGAGACCAGAACACCCAATCCCGGCAACGGGAAGGCTCTACAATTCGCCTTGAGTCTGGCGCCTTAGACCACTCGGCCATCCTGACACTGTGGCAAACGTTCCTGCCGGGCGCCTTTCGAGCTCATCGGAGAAGCAAGCAAACGTGACCCTGGGGGAACTTCTTGCCGCCGTCCCGGCTCTCCCGCAGGCGAGCAGAGCCAGAGGGGGAGAAAGCGGCGCGGTGCCTTAAAGACCCGGGGGCGCCGCAGTCTGCTGTGCGGGGCTCGGCTCCTAGCGCCCCCCCCCGGCTTTGCGCGCGGACTACATTTCCCGAGATGCCCCTCCCAGAAGGCGCATGCGCCCGGGGACTCTGTCCGGCGGGGCGGCCATTTTGTTCTTCCCCTCGAGCCAAGGGTATCGGGAGCGGGACTCTGGTGCGGAGAGATGCTGTGGCCCGTCGCGAGGAGCGCCTGGGGCCTCTCCGGTGAGCGGGCGCCGCGGGGCCGCGGCTCTTCCCTGTCCCCCCCCCTCCGTGGGGACAGCCAGACCCGGCGCGGGAGGGAGGGAGGGAGGGAGGCGGGAAGGACAAGGGCGTGGGGGGAGGCCTTGCTGGGCTCGTCCTGGCCGCCTCCCCCCCAGGGTCGCCATCCTCCAGGCGGGGCCGGGAGTTCTCCTAGAACTGCGGAGCTCGGCTGGCCTGTCTCTCTCTCGCCCACGTGGCCCCCCTCCTCCTCCTCCTCTCCAGCAACCCTCTTCGCCCCCCCCGCCCCCCAAGCGGCGGCCCTGCCCTGGGCCCGCTCTCTGGGCCTTCCCTGCTGTGCTCCTCCTTCCTTCGCCACCGGCCGTTTGCTCTCCTAGCAGCCCCGTGGCCAGGGAATTCTTTGGGAGGGGGGGCCTCAGGGAGCCCCACCAGCTAATGAAATGAAAGTACAGTGCAGGTAAGGAGCTGCGGTGGCTCAAGTGGTTAAGAC